AAGCAGAGGAGCATATACCGTGAACTGTACATTAATATATTCGTTATTCAGAATTTGCCGAGTATTACTCAGTCAGAGCACTTTTCTCCGTCGAGATTTAAGTGGGCTGTTGATAAAAGCTGTGTATTTAGCGAGTTTGCATCGAAACATCATGTAGTGAACAAATAAGAAATATGTTTGCGCTAATTTTAAAAGATTTTTTTTTTTTTACATAGTTTTCACGGCATTATGACATTTAGAAGATTTCAAGTCAAAACCTTTTCCGTGTTTAAACCATGCATTAAATGGACGGTGTTAAAAATAACATGCATCAAAGCAGTCATGCGCTGACGAGGCAGTCGATGGCTTTCTCTTTCGAGATTGCTCTTAAGCAAATTCACTGCAGCTTTGGCTCCTAAAATGCGCCAGCACCGCTATGATATTAAAACAGATGAACAAATTTTAGCCACTATTCTCCCCACCTAATTATCCCAATTCTCGATCTTTAAGAGCAGCTTGCTATTTCTTCCAGCGTTTCAGAGATGTACAATCACTGCATATTATAAGCATTTTTCGCGCAATCTGTTATTGGTAATCAAGCAATTGCTATTTTTTATAAATTTCAATTGTTGCAGGTCTCCTGGGAAAACTATCGATCAAAATATCACAGCAGCACAGTGCGTGGTGAGCGTGAAACGGACGTGATATTCTCAGTGGTCCAGAAACTTGTATCATCTGTCTCTCGTACTACAGTAAGCTTAGAATGTGCTAGATTTTCCACACTTTGGAGAGGGTACTTGCTTAAATTATTTTGTTTTTAAAGGATAGCTTGCCAGCTGAGACTGAAAGAAATGAGGTGACAAAACAGCATCCAGCAGATGAGCCAAGCTCGATCTATCGTACGCCGGAATTTCGCTGGTCGCATGTACACTTGCGATTACTCGATGACTTGCTCGTCTCCATCGAAAGCATCATTGAAGAGTGGAAAAAGTACGCGTTTTCGTTATTCGTTTAACAATTTCATTATCGCGCTAGGACATCAACAAAATCCACGAAGAGGTTGCAGTGAGTTAAAAAAAAAAGTACGTGCATTATCACAAACCCTCTTTAAAACGTGTCACACATTTACGTATTGGTCAAGATATACACAGCTGACAATTTCGAGTTTAAATTTCACTACAAGCTAGTATTTTGCATTAATTTTGTTTTAATAGTGCTTGCTCAAGACGATCAGTTACGGATACAAATCGTAGTCATCGATGAAAGTAGGAGAACAGATATAGAGTACAGCGGGGGAACTGTTAAAGCTAAAGCCGAGCCGAGTGATATACAGTCAAAATTTCGACCAGAAAAGCGTGGTGCGTAGAATATCAAGAAATATAAATGACCAGCACACCGACAGCCGTTGCGAAGATGCGTTTTTTGCATAGTTCCCCGCAGGTTTTTATCGCTGACGGCACCGGTTTTTCCTGCAGATGCTTCTAGCTAAACGAATTAAGACTGGGCACTAGGACTGTCAGGAAACACCCCTTAAAATTACAGTCTTCTAGCTTTTCAAGTTCTTGAGTTAGCGGCTTGCCTGTGAAAAACTTTCGCGGCCTCGTATGTGGGTACCACGCATACCAGGTGTCTGGGTTTGAGCTCATTAACGCCTGCATGGATGTGGAACATCCCCTTAAAATTCCAATCTTCTTGCTCCTCAAATTCCCGAGTTAGCAACTTACCCGAAAAAACTTTTACGGCTTGTGCATAGGAATCATGTATACCTAGAGGCTAGTTTTAAGCTCATTAATACTAGATGGATGGGGAACATCTCTTTGAAATTTCAGCTTTCTAGCTTTTTTGGTTCCCGAGTTCGCA